CCTGGCTGGGATACGTTTTATTCTTTTTTCTCTTTTTTTCTCTGTAATTTAACATTAAGTAAGAATGCTCACACGCACATACACACAATTACATTAAATAGCTATATAGGTAGGTTAGATAGGCATAATTTTAATTGTAGGTAGGATAGATAGGAAGCATCCAGCACTAATGTAGTTGAATAGGTAGGCAGCGTAAGTTTATCTCTTCTGTTTTTTCTCGCACCCACATTACACGCATCAGCGTATTATACACACACACACAAATACATACATAAACACATATTAGTATTTAAGCGTTATTTTATTTTCAATACACATTCTAATTTATTATTATTAAGGTTGAGAGTAATTTAATTTCATAAGTAGTTAAAAGCAATAATTTAATTCTAGGAACAATCTTGTAATTTAAATTAAATAAACGCTGTAAGTGTATCGAGAGGTAAGTTAGTTGTTAAGTTTTACATTATTATTATTAGGTTGGAGCCCAAGGCATTACGTAGGTGGTGGGGTGGGTGCCGAAAGGCCAATGAATTGGGCTCTTGAGTTTTGTAATTTTAGGTAAGCTAGGGCCATAATGTAATGAATAGGTAGGTTAGGCTACGTTGTAACAAATACTCATTAATAGAATTAGGGGTTAAGTTTTATATTATTAATACTAAGTTGGAGCCCAAGGCCATACGTAGGTGGTGGGGTGGGTGCCGGATTGGCCAAGAAATGGGCTCCTTGAGTTTTGCATTTTTAGGTAAGCTAGGGCTTAATTGTAATGAATAGGTAAGTTGAGGGTACGATAGCCAATAGACTCTGAATTTCGAAGTCTCTTGTCAGAAGTAAGCTTTGGTGGCCAGTGGTGAACCGGCAATGGTTTACTATCCGGACGGCAATGGTTTACTATCTGCACAGTAATGATTTACTATGCGGCACGACCATAGTCTACTACCCGCACGGCTTCCGGACGGCAAATGGTTTACTATCCGCAGGGCAATAGTCTACTATCCGCACGGCAATGGTTTACTATCCGGTCCCCTGGCTGTCGGTGAACCTCTGTGCAAGGAGGGAGAATGAAGGGGAACTTTCGACTATCGTACCATTATCAATTTAATATAGATTAGTTAAGGTAATTGAATAGGTAGATAGGATTATTTTTATTAAGCAATTTGAGATGCAGGCACCGCTAAGCTTTCTGATGAGAATCTACTCTTTCTCTATCTTTCTCCATCAACACGGGCTGTGTTTCGACAACAACCTCGAGGAGGACTGGCACCAGTTTTGGAGGACAACGTAGGAACCGGACCTCATTCAACATTCTGCCTTTGTCGAATGGACGACGGTAAGTTTTTTTTACATTTTACTTACTTTATTATTTTAAAATTTTATTTATTTGACATTATTTTCATTTTATAATTTAATTTTTTTGCTTCTAAGATTCTAACATTCATTTACTATTACGCAAATAAAAAAATCTTGTTTACAGAATGATGAGAGGTGGGCAGTGGTGGGAGTCAGCACGTTTTAGATGGTGGTCTCATGATGATTTACATATGATGATGGTGGTGTAGGAAGAATCAGCTCGTTGGCTGTTCGACTGACACTCTGAAGTTCGGATGGTATTTTGTGTGCCGACCAGATGGTGGTGGTCGGTGCAATGGAAAGTACAGTAACGACAATTTTTGAAGTAAGGTTTAGTTTCGTTTTTTATTTTTCTCATTCGTTCATTTTATCACTCAACCTTTTAAATTATTCTTCTATTAATTGATTCGTTAATTCATTCTATTCATTAATTGAATCATTGATTTATTAGTTAATTCATTCATTCACTCATTCATTCAACCAATTATTCAATCATTCAGTTAATCATTTATTCAATCGTTCCTTTGTTCCTTGATTTACTAATACGCTATTAAAAAATGTCTACAGAATGATGAGAGGTGGGCTGTGGTGGGCATCAGCACGTTTCAGATGGAGGTCTCATGATGATCGTTCCGATGACAATTCGAAGATAACAACGACGACGGTTTTTGAAGTATGATTTAGTTTCTTTTTTTTTATTTTTCTCATTCATTGATTCATTTTATCACTATCTTTCAAATTATTCTTCAGTTAATTTATTCATTGATTCATTCTATTCATTCATTAAATCATTGGTTGATTAATTAATTAGTTAATTTATTCATTCAACCAATCGTTCAATCATTCAGTTAATCATTTATTCGTTCGTTCTTTTGTTTCTTGATTTACTACTTCGCTAATTAATAAAAACTTGTCTACAGAATGATGAGAGGTGGGCTGTGGTGGGCGTCAGCACTTTTCAGATGATGGTCTCATGATGATCATTCCGATGACAAATCGAAGATAATGTTAAAGGTAAATTTGTTTTTGTCTCATTGTACCTTTGAAAGTACTCGAATTTGAACAAAGATTGAGATAAAGATAAGTTGCCTATTTTTTCCGATTGCTTGTTTTTTATTTTAGTGAATTAATTTTTCAATTTATTTTTCAGTATCCGGTCAAATTCATTCCATCGATGCGTGTCAGATGATGGTCGGTGCAATGGAGGTTCGTCGGTAGTGAGTGAAGTTTCTGGAGAGTGCGCGCCCGCACATTTACATACACACACATCAATACAACACATACATACACAACATCCATTCATTCGGTGTCGTTGTTGCTATGTTTCTCTTCAACTTTATATTTTCTTTACCGTGAACCGGGCTTTAATTTAATTCATAGGTAAGTTAGGGACTGAGATGAGTTAAACAATTGTAGGTAGGCTAGGGCTTAACATTAGTTAAAAAGCTTCAAGTAAAATAAAAACGCTAAAATATGTTAAATAAAATACTTGAAACATCTAAAACGAGAAATACAAATTTATAGGTAAGTGAGTTGAGTCAATGTTTATAAGTAAGCTAGGGCCCTGAGAGTAATTTTATTATAGGTAGGTGACTGACTATTATTCTTGCGACTTCTTACTAGTTTTGTGTGATGTGTTTGTTTTCGCTTCACAACACCACACCAACAAAACAAACTACATTTCATTCTCGTCGTCGCCTTAAATTGTACCTTTTTGAACAATCTTTTTAATAATGTCTATTTATTTATTCATTAAATGTTGACTGGTTTCTAGTTTTTTTTTTAAATTGGTTATATAATTTTTGGATATTTCTTGATTTACTTTGTATATATGCATGTATAAATTATTTCTGTTTAGTATGTTGATTTAGTCATTATGATATGTTGTGAACTGTTCTTACTAAATGTTCTTGTTACGTGGTTTATTATCCTTCGAGAACTTCTAAGGAGTGTGTGTGATAATAATAATAATGGATAATAATTATTTTTATCGGTCGATATTTTGTTATATTTGTTTATTTAAAATACGAATTTAAAAAAAAAATTTACGTTTTAAAATTTTAATTAACCGTCACTTTTCATTCTTGAATGAATTCAAATAAAAGCAACTACTGTGTTTTTCTTTCTTTACTAAAATCTCGAAATTGTTTGTAGATCTGTACGGTTAACTGTTTGTTCGAGTTTGAACAGGCCTTGCAAATTTTTTTTATTTATTTTTGTTTTTATTTTTGTTTATTTGGTTCATTCAATTTAGTTGATTGATCGGTTGGTTGATTGATTGACTGACAGACTGGCTGGCTGGCTGACCGACAGACCGACCGACCGACTGATTGTTTGATTGATTTATCTCATAGTATTGTATACATGAGAAAAAATCCGATTAAGCCAACCTACGGCTTCAGTAAGCCACTGTTTTTCACCTGACAAAAGCAATTTCTATATTTATATTGACAAAAATAATTGTGATATGAATATATTGATTTATTTAAAGCATTATATGTACAAAAAAGTGCTATCGTAAGAGTTCTATGAAACCCTGTAAGCCACTGCTGTAAGCCAACGTATGATTTCAGCTGCCAGTTTCTTATGAGCACCAGCAGAATGTAAAATATTCATTGAATATAATGAAGATAGTTGTTCAAATAACAATTTTGATTTATTTAGGCCGTTTATTTCATAAGCAAACCAATTTTTAACATGATCGAATAGTGTAAAAAAAAGGGTGACTAGTTCAATCCAACTAAGCCAACCTTCGGCTTCAGTAAGCCACCGGATTTCACCGGACCAAAAGCAATTTTTATATTCAAATTAACAAAAATAATTTAATAATACATAATTCTATTAATCATTATTAAAATTAAATAGAATTATTACAATGTTTTAAGCATATTAAATCAAGTAAATATTTCATTTAGCTTGCTCGTTAAAATCCATGCAATTTCGTAAGCCAACAATCCAAGCACGACAAATAGCCCGACCAATAGATCGAATTGATCGATTAGTCCTATTATTCTAGTTATGTGGTTTGGAGCAAGGGGAGACATTACTGAAAATAATTAAAAGTTGAAAAAATTGAGGTTCTTTGCATATCCCTGCTTCAACCCATTAGAAGGTGTTGTATGCTGGTAAATAGGCCTCCCCTTGCTTTTCTGTTATCATTAGTCTCCATTGAAACATAAAAAAATAAATGAATATGCTGTAAACGAAAAAATCGCGGAAAAAATCATCAATTTTTATTGTATTTTTATGTACTATCAATTTTCCATCATTTTAACACAGCTATCTTCAAGAAAATTGAATGAATGAATGATTTATTATGAATCTAACAAACGCCTTTGAAATTTCGAAAAAATCAATGAATGCTAAAGGTTGCTTTTTGTAAATTCGTAATTTTGTAACTTCAGTTTTAATTTTGAATTAAAAAAACTCATTAATCAAATAAACACAAAATATACATACTTAGTTTTTTATTTAAAGTAATCAAATAAAAAACAAAAACCGATATAATTATTTTTAAAACATACAAATAATAATAATAATAATAATTTACAAACAATCAAACAAATAAAGAAACTTTAACTTTCAAAGAAAAAATGAAAACTTTACAACTGGTATAAAATATTAGGAAAAAAAGCCACGGTTAAAATATCATCTCAGTCGTTATGTTGCTTCAGGCCGAACTTTTTGTTCTTAAAATACTTGAAGGCTTGAAATGCTGAACAAACTACAGGAATTCCAACCGGCAGAAACAATGGTATGTATATTGCGAACCTGTAATTCGTAAGAATAACAAAAAAAGAATAAAAAGAAAAAGAATCATTCAGATGACGACGATGATAATAATAAAAATAACAAAAATACTAAATAGAATATCAATAACAATAGTGACAATAATGCGACTGATAACAATGGTAATGAAAATGATATAAGTCAGGGGTGGGTAAACGTTTTGCTGTGAGGGCCGCATTAAGAACTATTTATTTTACCTTTGAATGGGCCGTAGTTTGCCCACCCCCGATATAAGTGATAATAGTAGAAATAATAATAATTATCATGATTATACTTTTGATCTTCGGGGAAGTACAGCAGTTCTAATAGAGATGGATCGAAGAAAGCTTTCTCTGGAGAAAATGAAATGAATATCAGGTTAACCACATGGTTGAAGAAAATTTAAATAATTATTAAATATCTGATATCTGATACATTTTTGACACTTATGGATCATAATTATAATGAGACTAAATAAGATGGCGTATTAAAAGATAAAAACTCGTCTGGTCTCCTGTGTCTCAGTAATGATGTTTGAATACAACATGATCTATAATAATACATAGTCTAAAATATGTTAAAGCCAATGATACGTTAATTCGCTATTATGTTCATTCATGGCGCTATATAAATTATAGTGATCGTTAAATTGATTAATATTCGAGTGAGAAATTGATATTTGATTGATTGTTTGATATTTGACTAATCAATACTTGATTGATTGCTTGATTGATACTTGATTGAATGAGAGTAATGAACAAACCAGAGGATTGTAAGGCCTGCCTGCTAGCAAGGTAGGCCTCCTTCAATGAACCATCCTTTAAAAGTTTCAGAGAATTCTCTACCGAACTGACTGCCAAATTCACCTATTTAATGAATGAAAAAACGAATAAATGGATGAATGAAAAATTATGAATCATATTATCTCAAAACAGTGATTAATTAATTAAACTGATTAACATAATGTAACAACAACCAGACTATATAAACGCTGGCATTAACCAATTTAAACATTGTCTTTCTTATAATAAATTGCAAACACTAACTTGAAATTTGGTAAAACCAACAATTCGGTAGAATTAATACAATACCATATTTTACACAGTATTTGTGCATAATATGCATCAGTAAACATACTGAGTAAATATATACTCCTTCAAACAAAAGTTGAAACATAAACCTGATCTCCAACGTCATCATTAATAACGATGTTACTGATATGGTTGAGTAGCTGTGATAGTGAGTTGAGAGTTGCAGATGACTTGCCTATGTTCTCGATTGTATGCTCCGTCAACCAAACATCCAACTCCTGTATCATCATCATCATCATCATCAGTATCCTCTTTGACATCATCACCATCTTTGACATCATCATCATTATCATCATCTTTGTCATCATTATTTTTATCATCATCATTTTCAGTATTATCATCACTGTTATAACCATTTAATCTTCATCATTAGCAGTATCATTATCTATCATTATCCAAATATATCTTCTATCATCGTTCTTCGTTATCATAAGTATCGTCATTGTCACTATTATTATCATCACAATTATAACCATTTACATGTTATCATAATATCATTGGTGTCATCATCACCATCGTTTTAGTCATCCTACCCAGTTTGAAAGAACCTTCCCGTTCGCTGGCATAACCTCCAAGCTTCCTTTCAGAATCTGAAACACGGAAAATGAACGTTGAAAAATTACATTCTGCTGTTAAACTACACTCTGAAAAAATTTTTTTTTTACTAAATTGATAAAAAATTTGTAAAGTATTTTATCTTAGTGTACACATTTCAAGTGAAAAACTTTTCAAGTATTAACTTGAAGCAACTATAGCGTATCTATAAATAACTTGCCAAAGTCATGATCTATAAATAGCAACCTACATGCGAATCCAATCTTTTAAAACCGAGCAGCACTTTCAGTTGTGGTACAACGACGGAGAATAGTTCCTTCAACTGGATCTCGTAATCGAATGGGAATTCCAAAGTTTTATTTATAGCAGGTGGAGGAGGAGTCTCGACGTTCTTTATGATAATGCCACCCCACCTTGGTACAAGGAATGAATTGGTTCGAGATTTGCCTGAAAATCGTTGCATAATTAGGACTTTTAATATAATAATTACTACTACTACTAATAATAATAATACTACTACTACTACTACTACTATTATTATTAGCTTTACCTGATTGGTCAAAAACATTGAGTGGGCTTTGCTGCCTGGTAGGAATGTACACAACAAAGTTCAAGATCGGGTTTTGCGTTATGTGGCAGGCTGCAAGAAGCAGAAAAAAATGATGCTTAATTAATATTTAAATTAATCTAATCTCATTAATATTCATGAGTAACCAAATAGATATAACCTAGATAAGGTTCTATGGGATTAATGATATGCGGGAGCTTGTTCCACAGTAAAGGATAGCAGTTACACGATTGGTCAAATTTTGCTTGGGCATTAATATTCACCAGGTGTATGTACTTTAGGAATAAATTATTATAATTACAAGAAAGAGAGGGGATATACAGTATCTATTAATAGAATAATATTGATGAAGCAATTAAATTAATCATGAATAAATGAATTCAAATGCAACACAATTTGAATCACAGAAAACTCAATGAATGATAAGCCTCATTCATTCTCATCATGAAATAAAATATAAGATATTTTTTTTATTAAATATTTATAATTATTATTTATAATTTTATAAACCATAATTAATAATTTCTGTAGAAGCAACCTGTGATCTGACGGAGAGTTCATTTGGTTTAAGGGCATCTATCATAGGCTGGAGATATTCTGAAATTTGAAATGTTTTTCTACTATCTATTCGTCATCATATCATTACAACCATTTTCCTTAGCATCCTCAACATCATCATCGTCAGAAGAAATCATCACCATTAACACTACTAACTTAATAACTTTATCACAGTCCACTCATTAACATCCACATCGCTTTTTTTGTAGTTAAAACAATTTCATCATCATCACCCTTATTATGGTCGAGCGTCCTTCACCTTCACCTTCAACATCATCATCATCATCATCGTCGTCGTCATCATTCTCATCGCCACCATGACAAACTTTCGACAGCAGTTTGCACGTCCCACTGGACATTAACAACCTCAGGCTGAGGGTTCATCAAGGTCAGTATGACGTCATAACCCAACGATGACTTCAGTGACCTCATGCTATTTTTATCCAGCTGGAATTTCCATTATTTATTTTTTTTCATCAGTAACTAAAACAGATTTTGAAACAGACATTGTAATGAAGAAGCTATTGTAACGAATTTATCTCAATGATAACATGTTTATTCATTAATTTATTATTATATTAATAAATTATTAAATTCCAATTTATAATATAATAATAATTAATTATAATTAATTACAATTTATTCAACCTGCATCTGTTCAGTTTCCTTAGTAGATAGATACACCTGATTCATTTCCTCACTCCTCACAATCACATTCTTCAAACTGTCAATCATTAATTGAGCTGTTTGCCTGAGGTCTTCGGAAGTGAAAGAGTAAATTTTAATAAATTATAATATAATAATGAACATTAATAATAATGATATCCAATTAATGTGGGCCAAAGATGTATCAAAGATCAATGAAAAATGAATTGCTTATGGAAAAATTAAGATGAAAATATAAAGAAGCTATAGAAATAAATAAAAAATTATCAATCAATCAATCAATCAATCAATTAATCAATCAATCAATCAGTCAATCAATCAATCAATCACTCAATCACACAATCAATCAATCAATCAATAAACCAATCAATCAATATCTAAACACTCAACCAACTGACCAATGAACCAACTATCCAAGCCGTCCAAACAATCAATTACTTGATAAACAATTACACAAGTTAAATATTGAAATAAACCTTGAATGAATGGCCTAACAAAGATGCTTCTATAGACCCCTAGCAGTCCAGTAGTTACATTAAAACTATCTGCCAGTTGGTCAGTTAAGATGTAGAATGAATAGAAACCAGCTTTTTTTACTTTAGATGGTTTAACCTCATTCAATTTCTCATCCAAATCTGAAAACCAAATCAGAAAACATTTAAAATTAAAACAATAAATTTTTAAGATTAAATATAATCAATTAAATATGAATAATAATAACTATTATAATTATAATTTATGTGGTAAGGAAGTTAGGTATTTTTTATTGGTATCTATTTGTACCTCTGATGTTTTTCATTTTTCCATGCAATGTTCCCTCTTCTCTGCTATCTGTTTCTCTCATTTTATATCCGTACACCACGTCAACTAAATTTCCTGATTCTGAAATGTTTGATTTAATTTTATCTTTAAAAAAATGTATTGAACTTTGAAGAAATTAATAAATGCAAATAAAAACTATATAAAGATCTTTATTTTAATTCATTTTTTCCAACATTAACAGCCTAAAACTTCAAAATTGAAAAATCATACAATTTTTGACATACTTTTAGTAGAAAAATATAAAATATACGTTGCCATCTAATCCTAAAATAACACAAATAAATACAAAACCTTCTAATCCTGAAATACAAATAAATGCAAAACCTTCTAATCCAAAAATACAATACCTTCTAATCCTAAAATATCTGTCATAATGATGTTCAACTGCTCAGAATAATCTTCATAGATGTCTTTCATTAGAACAATTTCAAACTCAATAGACATTGAGATCTAAATGGTTTAATTTATGAATATAAAAATGTAATTAAACTTAAATTTTATAAATAAATAATTTAATATAATTTCAAATACAACAGAATAAATAAATAAATCAACCAATCAATCAACCAATCAACTGACCAATGAACCAACTATCCGATTCAATCAATCAATCAATAAACAAATAAAAAATAAACAAATAAATAAACAAATAAATAAACAAATATATAAATTCATACAGACACATAAATAAATACATAAAAAATAAATAAATAACAACTTCTGTAGAATCAAGTTGAGAAATGAGAGTATAGGGTAGGTTGACCCGGTAGACTTCTGTTGTCTTCCACCATAATGGCAGACCCACGACAACACAGACCAGTGCAAAGGAAAGGGCCGAACATATCTGCAACATTTTGCTCTCTGAGTCTGTGGGTATGGGCGCTGTGAATTTTTTTAAGAATTTTAAATATAATGATATTCTTAAATGTTCAAATTGTTATCAGTTAAAAATTTTAATTTATTAAATCATTATTGAAAATATTCAATTTGAATAAATTATTATTATATTAATAAATCTAAATTAAATAAGATATTAAAAAGTTTTAATAAATAAAGAATTAGTTTAGATAAGATAAGCATTAGAATTAGACAGTCAATGATTGAGTTGTGGTATGTGTCAACAAAATCTGAATTAAAGTGCCAATTATTTGGTCGTTTTTCATAATTTTTTAAAAGATTACCAATACTTTCATTTTCAGAAATTAATTATTAAATAATAAATCAAATTTTTGTACTAATAAAAAATAATAAATCTACCTACCTTCCTCTTTTTTATCTTCTTCCGCCATATTGCAATAAATAAGTTGATATTAAATTTAACTAATATAAAATAAAAATTAAAAAAATTAGGCAATCAGGATGGAAACGATTTGCAATTTGTCAGCAACTACGGAACAAATCGCCGATCACAAAAATTATATTTTCGCTAATTCTGTTTACACAGATAAATATTTATCTATAATTATATATGTGTTAGTATTCTATGGTTTTTTCTCACCTGTAAAAAATGCTTCAAATTAGTTTTTACCATTTTATACAAAAATTGCCTTTGACTTAAATGTTTTACTTTTATATATAAATGTTTCAAATAATTAAATTTTTTGCAAACATCGCAAATATTAGAAACGTTTTAATTTTGATGTCTCGTTAATAAAAAATAAAAATTTATGTAAATAATTGCGTCAAAGCATAAGCAGACTAAACACATATTGAGTTTTAATAAAATTATCAGTTTTACAATATTTCATTTTTATATTATATTAATAAGCAAACTAAATAAGTACTGGAATTCGACCAAGAATTGAACCTTGAACTAGCTTGGGAGAAGGAGAATGTATCTCTTCAACAGCCCCTTCGAAGAAGATAGAATGTTAGTATAAAAATCGAGAGGTCAAAATATTTTTCATGAATTAACATTCTAGTGATGTTGATTAGTGGTTCTTAAAAAAAATTTACAAACAACTTTTGCGCTCAAAATTAAAAATATTGAAAAGTAAACAGAGAAGATGATGAAGAGTTCTAGAAGGAAAAACTACTAAATAATCAGACGAAATTTATAAATGTTATATATAATTAAAAACCCAATGTAAAAGAGAATTGTACAAAAAACATGTCTTTTAGACTTAGTTTTAATTTCTGACAAATAGTTGGAGAATAAATGAAAATTACTTAGCAGTACACCATCGTGCAATTTGAAAAATATTTCTTCATCTCATAGATAGCCGATGTAAGACAATAAAACATGGAAATATATGAGACAAGATGATAGAGGCACAAGTGATTAAACGAGCGGCTGAGTTTAAAGTTACTTAAATCCAGGGAGTTCTGAATTTGTTTTGCAGATTCAATATAAGTACAACTTAGAGTCTATTTCGTCTATATTTCGTCCATATATTATTTGAAGTGTTTCTATTATAATAAGGTTGATAAATTTTCAAAAATAAATTACAATCTCTTAAATTTAGGATAACTAATACAAACAACAAACCATTTAGACGAACAATTTATTAAAATTTGATACACTTCTCATGTTTTTCATCAAATGGTTTCAAGTTCAAACAAATCGACTCGACACATGTTAAAATGTTGTACCCATTTACTATGCTAAAAAATGATTTGTCAATAGTCAATTAAAAAGCAACAGCATATAAGTGGTATGACATTTACAGATTTTTTAAACAAAAAATACAAAAGAAATTTTTAATCTGGAAAAGGTTTAGAAAATATTTAACGTTGCATGTACCTGAATATGATTTCTGTGAAGACAAAAAATGAATATGACACATATTTCATTTTATACATAAATTTTTATTTATATATATCTTATTTTAACTGAAAGAGAATGATGTGTATGTGTGTTTGTTTCTATATGTGTTTGTGTGTGCGCATATATGTGTGTGTGTGAGGATGTATAACTGTGTTACAAACATTATAATAAAATCAATCGATTTAAACGTACATGCGTACGTACATACTTTCGTAATAATTTAAGGTGTGCGTCTCAACTCATGCCTATATGTCTATATACAACTTACTAAATGTATATGAAATCTATTGCTGTTGTAGCTACTGCTGCTACTATTATCACTACTACTACTACTACTACTACTACTACTACTACTACTACTACTACTACTACTACTACTACTACTACCACTACTACTAGTACGACTACCACTACTACTACTACTACTACTACTACTACTACTACTACTACTACTACTACTACTACTACGACTACAACAACTACTACTACTACTAATTCTACTACGACTACTACTACGACTACAACAACTACATACGGCTCCTTTATTTTTACTACCAGGACCCCTTCTACTACTTCAGCTGCTACTACGGATACTACAATATAAACTACTGCTTATATACCTGTGTGTGTGGTATGTATGTATATGTATGTATGTATGTATGTATGTGTGTGTGTGTGTGTGTACGTTTGTGTGTGTGTGAGTGTACAGTATGTGTGTGTGTGTACCTGTACATACATATAATCCAATACTATTTTTACGTAGTAAAAATAAAAATAGCATCCCAAAGCTAGGTCATCGTATATTTATCATATTTATTTATTTACAACTTAAGCTATGTTATGGTTGAAGAGTTGATGAGAAAAGGGCAGACTGTGTGTGTATTCTGCAGTTTATGAATAAAAAATGATCTAGCTACATATGTTTCAAGTTTTTATTGAAGAAATAGTTTATTTGAGTGGATGTTTGAAAATTGAACGATAATTTTGGAAAGTTCCTCTTCTGTGAAAATATAATTTAATATAATGACACCCTGCAAACTAGAAAATAATAATAATCAAAAATAATAAATAATAATTATAATAAAATAATGGAACTTATAAACGGATATGTCTAATAATTAAGAATTTTAAATAACAATAATAAAATAATGGAACAATAAATGGATATGTCTAATAATTAAGAATATTAAATAATAATAATAATAATAAAAAAATGATGGAACTTATAAACGGATATGAGCTGATACCTTCCGAAGACTGGATGGATTATTTCACGGATGCCTTTAAGTTTAAACAACTGCCCTGGGAAGACCCTATGTATGTATGTGTTTGTGCGCCTGTCTGTCTGTCTGGCTGGCTGTCTGTCTGGCTGTCTCCGTGTCTTCGTTTAACTGTGTATGTATGGATATGTGATCTATCTGTGTTCTTACGGGTATATGTATGCATTTTCGTGTGTATGTACGCCAAAGTAAATGCACATTACATATACACACATAAATACACTCAACATTTTTCTGTTAACTATGTAATTATTTTCGTTTATTTCTGAAAAAATGTCACTCAGCTGCCAAGAGATGATTATGTTAAGATATGCCCTAAAAATTATAATCTATCGAGAGCATATGTCACGTGATACTAAAGAACTCATCACAATATAATAAGATAACACATAGCCTATTTCTACTTCACATTACAAGAATACCGTCCAATCACCGACAGGGGAATGAGAGTGACCTCTGGATCGGTGACCTTGAAAAAGGACCAACAAAACCTCGTCGGGGTGAGTATCGGAGGGGGTTCTCCTAACTGCCCCTGCCTCTACGTCGTTCAGATCTTCGACAACACCCCAGCTTCCAGAGATGGAACGCTGGCTGCGGGAGATGAAATTGTTGGCATCGATGGTTCCAGTGTGAAAGGGAAGACGAAAGTTGAGGTGGCTAGGTTGATTCAAGCCACTAAGGTTTGTTGGCGGTGATGTTGGTAATGTTGCTATTTTTACAATAAAAGTGTAGTTGTAGTAGTAGCTGCAAATGCTGTTAGCAATTTTGTCGTTGCTTAACGAAAATTTGTATTCTGTTGATCGATTTTGTTTCAGCTTTTAACTTATTTTTGTCAATTTTTAGTAACGTTCTTGTTAGCGAGTTTGTTGCTACTGAAACAATTATAATTTTTATGATCACAATTTAAATCGTAGTTTAAAAATAGTATGCTTCAAATATAGAACTGATGTTGTTATAAATAAAAGGATAAGGTGACGATCAACTTCAACAAGTTGCACGCAGACCCGAAGCAAGGATTGACGCTAGATCTAGGTTGTTGTTGCTGCTGCTGTTGTTGCTGATGTTGTGGACGTTCTCATGTTTTTGATAACTTTGTTATTGACACACGGCGATGCTGTCTGGGCAGTTGTTTGTGTTATAAATTGAAAATAATTTCTTTCTAGCTTAGGAAGAATGTTGCTTTAGTAAACGAAATCACACAAAACGCCGACGACAAATCTTACGGAAGATAAATTCCCGCTGCTAATTTTTGTTGAATTCAGCACCAACTCCATCGCATGCTTTTGTCTTGTTTTCATTATAAATAAACTAACAACTAAAAAATAATATGTGAATAAATAATGATGACGTCATTTATGTAGCGCCCTGTGCGTTGCGTCAGAGGTGCTTGAAATACGCAAGATAGACGAGGAGTGTTCTCGCATACAAACCCAGTGACAGCAACGCATTAGACGAGCATTTTACCACTAGGCTACCCAGAACAAATAAAACTCTATAACTAATTAAAGAATATAAAAGCTAATTTAAAACGAAAATTGACGTAGTGTTGAAGAAGGTGAAACATCGGGTCGTTGAGGGAATGACGAGTAGCACTGCCGATGCATTGGGACTCAGTAGGGCGATCCTCTGCAATGGTGTGTTGCTGGGTGGTGTTTTGTATTTGTGTTGTTGTTGTTGTTTCCATGTTGTTATTGTTGTATTTGTGTTGTTGTTGTTGTTTTTGCATTTGTGTTGTTGTTGTTTTCGTATTCGTATTGTTGTTGTTGTCGCGTTATTGCCAATTTGTTTTTGCAAAGTTGCCGTCTCTTTAAAACGTTTTTCGATGGTGTTGTTGTAAACTGCAATTTATTTGTTGGCGTGATCACCATTTAAGTGAGTGACTGTTACCGGGTTGCTGGCTGATAAGCTATATTGTCATTTCGTTGTTGAGCCATCATCATCATTATCATCTTTATCATTCTTATCATCTTTATCATTCTTATCATTCTTATCGTCCTTATCATCGTTATCATCATAAGATTCTTTGGTGAAAAAACTGCAAGAATTGGAGCGAGTCTCAGCAACGTACGAGAAGCTGGTGCAAAGGGTGAAGAAGTTTCTGAAAGCTTTCCTTGAATTGTCTTTGGCGCATAGAGGTTGATTTGATGATGATGATGAAGAGGATGATAATGATGATTTGACGGTGATGATCTTGTTGACGGCGATATGGTGGTTATGGAAAAAAAAGATGATCATGTTTTTCTGATGGCGAATTTAATGGTGACGATGTCAATATCATCATCTATATCACCACCACCAACGTTATCACCATCAAAAAACCAACAACAAAACATCCCCAGAATTCGGGGACGTGTTTTCAAGCATTGGCGTGCGAGAACCTCACCACCAAGCCAGTCTGGTGTTCAGTAAGTTTGGAGATACGCACCGAGAACTTGAGAAAAATGCTCTGACTGCCATCAAAGCGATTAAGCCGGTTAGAATGAAGAACAGGTTATTATAAAAAACAGTGGGTTGTTATTCACGTCTATCCAATGTCTATTAGGCCTTCGTCGAGATAATATTCCATCTCCTTTTAAAATTTAGACGATTCAACAGCTATGATGATCGAAATACATTTTTCGCCAATAATAATAATAATAATAATAATAATAATAACAACAACCAACAAATATTGTTCTGGAAACCAAAAATGTGATGGTTGAAATAAAGATTTCAATATCCGGTTGTTCGGATTTAAAAAATAACCAAACCATAAATTTTGACCGATTTCGTGCTTTCCTAATTCATTAATTTATTCATTCATTTAGCCGTCCGTCATTCTGTTCGTTTATTCTCCTTTTCGATTATTTATCCATCCATCCATCTATTCCTCCTTCTATTCATCCATCTATCCATCCATCCATTTATCAATCCATTTGTTCAATTGTTCTGCATTTATTAACACTACCAGATGATAAGTGATTTGAATACGTATCTGAATAAGGCAATACCCGACACCAAGCTTACCATCAGGAAATACCTCGACTGCAAATTTGAATACCTGGTGAATTATTATCGATTGATGAATTAACCAATGAATGGATGAATTAATTAATGAATGACTTAATAGATGAATGAATGAATGAATGAATGAATGAATGAATAAATGAATGAATGAATGAATGAATGAATGAATGAATGAATGAATGAATGAATGAATGAATGAATGAATGAATGAATGAATGAATGAATGAATGAATGAATGAATGAACAAACGGGATATATAAACGAGTTGAGTGAAAACCAACAAATGATCATTGAACGAATGAATGAAAGATTAACGTATGAATTAATGGAAAAAAAGAAAAAATAAACCAACCAACAAATAAATAATTATGATAATATATGTAATTAATAAAAAATTATGACAACAATAACTCTCCAGTCGTACTGCCTAAAAGTGAAGGAAATGGATGATGAGGAATACAGTTGTAATGCACTCAATGAATGCCTGTACAGAGTTGAAACCGGGAACTATGAATACAGGTTGCCATGCTGATGACGACGACGATGACGATGATGACGACGACGATAATGATGATGTGATGATGATGGGATAATAACGATGATGATGAGGAGAATGATGATGATGATGTGACGATGAAAGGATAATAGTGATGATGATAATAGTAATAATGATTACGGTGATGATAGCTAGCAGTAAGATGGTACAATGGTTAACACGATAAGAGCAATAGCAATATAAGTTTTGATTTAAATAAAAAAAAATTCATCGGCATCTAACAGACAATTGTTATTAATTACTTTAAAACTAATTGGAGACAGATTAATTTTGAGGTGTCGGCAAGAAGCGAAAGTAAAATTTTCCAAGAAAAGAGCTGATGTGCTGGTGAAGTTGGAGCTTTTGGATAACAAACATGGTTGGTTGGTCCGTTGGTTGGTTGGTTGATACATTGATAAAATGATTGGTTGTTGGTTGGTTGGTTGGCACACACACAAATGCTCTTTTTCTTTCTCCTTCTCTCTCTCTCTCTCTTTTTCTTTTTCTTACACACACACGCACACACAAACACACATATCATCACACAGTGCAAGACACGGTCTTCCAGTTACAGAGATTAGTGACATCACTAGCGAGATATCAAACGGAGAACAGCACCGTCATGAAGGATAACCAGCTGTTCCCCATCGAGGTCGACCTTTGCAAAGGTGTGATGGTTTTGCTGGCTTAAAAATATACACGCACATATATACACGTACACACACTCATAAACACAGACACACGTACACACGTATTCTTACAATTTTCTTAAATATTCTAATTTTGAAATTTATATTCATATGGTTTATACTTTTAGAGATAAAAAGAATCTGCTTAACCTTTTGCTTCTAATTAGCTAGCATTTCATAATTTAGGAACATTCAGCTATAACACTTCCGGACAACTGGACGACGATGACGTCACCGGTGAAAATGGAGATGGGCTGTTTAGTCGGACCGAAAATGGAGATAATAGTATTTGTAGAGAAGATAATACGAGTGAAGGACATTCCTATAAACTCATTGACGACGCCATTAGTGATGAAAAACATGAAAATATGCCTGATTTATTTGAATTAATGAACGAAAATAATATCAAGTCTCCGGAAAAAACATCTCTAAAAAATTCGATCCACAAAAATATCGGCCAAGAAATACAATCAAAATCAAAAAATTCGTGTAAAGATTTGGGAAAAAACGCGACGTACGATTTGTTGACGATTGAGGATGACGTCATTAAACAACAAAATATTTGTTGCAACGAGGCTGATGATTTTTTCAACAGCAAACAAAATTTCTTCCAACAAAAAACACAAAATATTTGTCCACAGGACCATCAGCATACTTACTCCTTTCCGTTGCAATCCAATTTCCAACAACAACCCATGCAAACGCAACAAATCCAACAACTTTTCAACCCACAACAACAGCAACAGCACCAACAACAACATCTATACCAGCAACAGTTCAATCAACCTCTGCATTTTCAAAGCCAACAACAACTAACTAACCAAAGTAACTCATTGAACGTGAACATCAGCTCCTACAACAATTTCAACTTACCACTCGTGCCACTCCTACCAACTGCATCCTCATCATCATCATCACCAACAACAACTTCATCTTTCTTAAATAAATTAACGCCAACAGCAGCCAAGAAAGCGGCAACCGTAGCTGCAAACAACTCAACAGCAATCAACATCAGCAGCAACAACACTCTATCGCATGATAATTCAATTGATCTGTTACAACTAAACAACGACAACAACATAACGAATAATAATAAATGCTTGCAATCTCCAGTCACAACAACTACACCGAAATCAGTAGCTGCAACGCTGTCGACAAACAAATCAAAACTCAATGATTTTAATAACTTCTTAAATAAAGAATCAAACAAGCAGCTAAACGAATTCTCCGGATTTTCCAAAATGTCTAAAAATAACAACAACGTTTCACTGGATGATAACGAAAGTGCGCTACATCAACTAGACAGAAACATCATCGTCATCCTCAATGATGATGAAGCTGATGAGGAGGATGGCGACGACGAATATGATGATAAAACAATCAACAACAATAACAACGTTAACGAAGCGGTCAAGATAGATTTCAATGGCAATAAGGATGATACAAATGATGATGCTAATGATGACGACGACGAAAATGATAACAGTGATCTAAATAACAAAAATCTAATTGACATATCAACTGACTCTTCTGTAAACAAGTACTACAACATATACTACACAGCAAGTGAAGGTGATAACGACGACGATGATGATGATAATGACATCATCATCAACAATGATGATGATGGTGATAAAGCCAACGATGGCAATGATAAAAGCAGAAATAAACATGAAAACGACAGATTGAAAGTTGGATTTAAATTGCCTGATGAGGATGATGATGATGGTGATGATGATGACGACGACGATGATGACGAAGTAAGTGATGATTACGATGACAACCTCAGTCACCATAACAGCAAAACTAATGAAGATAAGAAAAATGTACAAGCTGAAAATGATGACAGTGACAATAATAATAATAACGACGATGATGAAGATGACGAAGATGATGATGATGACAACGCCAACAATAATGATGACGATACAAGTGACGATGAATGTATATTAGCCAAAACCGATGATGCTAATGGTGATGACGACCTGGACGATGATGACGATGACCTACTAGATGATTATGGCGTTGAGGTCATTTCGTTTTATGTCAGTAAGGTTCTGATTGATAAGGCTAACAGTGAGGACATCAGTAGTGATGACATCAATTATAACAACAACAACTGCAACAACAACAACAGCAACTACAACAACTGCAACAACAATAACTGCAACAACGGCAACTGCAACAACAACAACAGCAACTGCAAAAACAACTGCAACAACAGCAACAACAACAACTGCAACAACAACAATAATAACAATGACAACAACAGCAACAATAACAACAATAACAACGACAGCCACAATAACAACAACAATAGTAATCATAAAGATAATAACAACAATAGTAAATGATGAAAAAGATAATATAAACATGACGACGACGATCATGAAACCATGAAGATGATGACGACGACGATGATGAAATATATATATATATTTTAACTATAATAAATATATAATAAATATAATAATATAATAATAATATATAAAATATAATATAATAATAATATATAAAAATATAATAATAATAATAAAGATAATAATATTAATAAGGAAAATAATAACAATAATTTATATATGACATATGGTAGAAAATTTTCCAACGACAGCTTGATTAAAATCAATATCAATGTTAAACATACATACAGAGTAACCCCATGCAAACACACACACACACACACTCACACACGCACACACACACATGCACACACACACGTGCGTGTGTATATATATTTATTTATATGTTAGTGTATAAGTATATACACATCGTCATTTATCTTATATCCATTCGTAATTTTAAAACTGAATTGAAATATTCTTGGAATATAAATTTTCAGAAATTGAAACTCTCATTTTTTGGCCCTATTATTGACTGGCAGATTAATTAATTAGGAATTGAGAATCGGAGAAATTAACATTTCTCAAAGATTTATTATTTAATTTAATAATATATCTAAATTTTGTATCAATTACTCGAAAATCAATAATTGAAAGAAACACTTTTTTTATTTTCCGTAAAAAAGTCATTTACAATTTTTTCGGTCTGACACCCCAGCAAGGTCTTAAAAGGAAATAAATTCGTTTAATGCTAATTTTAATAATTAATATAATTAATCAATTATTCAATTAATTAACTTCTCGACTAGGCTTTATGTTATAATAATAATAACAATAATAACGATAATGATGATGATAGTAATTACAACAAACCCAAACGTTATAGGAATAAGTCACGTAAAAATTTTTATAACATAACTAAATAACAAAAAATAATGTTAATAATAAAATTATTATTTTTATTATTATAAATATAACCACAAATATCATTAAAACATAAAAATAACACAATTAAACAATAAAACAACAGAAATTGTAAAGAAGAACTGGCTATTTAAAATAATAATTTATATGAATAATTTTCTCAATTGATTTTCTAACGTGTTTATACTTAAACACCCCAAAAAATAGTAAAAAAATAAACAAATTTTATTCTTAAACGTACATACACAAACACACAGGTACATACACACTATATAATATGTGATACACACATACAAACACACATACAAACAAACATACAACACACATGTGTAAGTCTAGAAGTTATAAGATATGCGAATAGTATAAAAATACACGTAAGATGTCTTAGAAATAAGGCTACATTTATTAATATAACTTTTTTAGTTTTAATACGTTTTGTTGTCATAAACCATAATGTTTTTTTTGTTCGTTCGTGTTTTTGATGATGTCATTTACGGTGATGTCATTGATAATGTTGTTGTTGATAGTGTTAATGTTACTGTTGTCGATGAAAAAAAAATGCAGACATTGCTGACGTTGTTGTTGATGAGATTGTGTTGATGTGATTGTGTTGATGTGATTGTGTTGATGTGATTGTGTTGATGTGATTGTGTTGATGGGATTGTGTTAATGTGATTGTTTATATAAATATTGTATCATCACTGATGTTGATGTTGTTGAGATTATATTAACGGTGACGTCATTCACTAACTACGTCGCCGCATCATTATTACGTCACATGCTTTGCAATTCGTTGATGCAATTTTCCATTTCGGCCTCAAGTTTCTTGTTCACATCTTTCGATTTTTCTAACTCCTCTGGTGTTCCGTGTTCACGGTAAAAATGAATCAATCATTTAGTTAAAATAATTTTCAATAATAAAAAATAAATAAATTAATTAATTAATTAAATCATATTTTACTATTTTCCACGCAAGCTTATCATTAAATGGGTCGACTCTATTAATTAAACTGAACAAAACATTATTAAACGATTAATATATGTTAATTGATCTAATAATTAAATAGAAATAAGATTGAATAATTAATTAATTAGTCAATCAATCAATTTATTAGCTAATTGTTTAATTTAATTAATCTGACCTTCCAATCTGTCGACTTCTCTTTGAAGCTTTGCCGAATGCCTTTCAAGTTCTGAAGCTAACAGTTCAGACTGTGATCACAATTAATTAAGAGTTAATTAACTCATTAAATGCATAGTTAATTAAATAAACTTTCTCTCTCTCTCTCTTTCTCTCTTTCTTTCACTTCCTCTCCCTCTCTTACTTCCTCTCCCTCTCTCTGTCTCTCTCTTTTTCTCTCTGTTTTTCTCCGTCTTAATTTTACTGCACTATATTTTAAAGGTGTCTACAATAGGAACGGTACTTTGTCGTAATCACATTGTTACTGTGCATTCATTTGTAATCATCATCTTATTTATTAGCATTATCATCATCACAATCCCCACCATCATCATCACCACAATAATCAACATCATCATCATCATCACAATCACCACAATCATTATCCTTATCATCAACTTCATCATCATATGACTGACATCTTTCAGTTTTGAGGCGAGTTCTTTGATAGTTCGTTCGTATGTTTCTTCTTTTTGGGACAGCTGAAAATGAAAATAATAATAACAATATGACAATAACTATAATCATCCTCATCAGTATCATCACCACCACCACCACCATCATCGTCTTACTTACTTCTCCCTCGCTGAACTGGAGTGATTTCAGATGTGTTGATGTCGCTATCAGATCAGATTCCATCTGTTTCCACTTCCTGTTGATGATAATGAG